TGCACTCCTCACCCAATCTTTAAGGGAGCGCCCAACCACATTTTAACCATTTGTATCTGCAATCTTGCCCTTACGGTCATTATACAAACTCATGACCACCACAACAGAACCTCCTGTCAGTCTCACCCTCCATCCTTCCCTCATTCGTGAACAAGAGATACTTGAACTCCTCCACTTGTGGGAGGGACTCACCACCCACCTGAAGATTGCAAGCCACCTTTTTCTAATCAAATTATAATAAATATGTTGTGCTTAAAATTTGGTGACTTCTGTTGTACTTTTATTAGATCTATTCCATTAGATTATGTGTTTGATTTACTTAAACGTTAAATGAAACAAAAAGGGCAATTTAACCCAAGAGCTGTCTCATTTACAGAATACAATAAGTGTCCCAACACTTGCAAGGCAAACCATTAACACCACAGCTATTTCTTTAAAAGGATGTTAATAGACAGATTTTCCAAGTGTTGGGCCTGCTATATATGTAAACAAACATCTCACATACACATTACACAGGATTCCATTGCCATCTCTTGACTGTTACCATAGGAACACAATCTGATACAGTATTCTTGTGCACCTACTGCCACCTCCATCTGTTTACAGTGATCTAACCAGATATCGCATCAGCCCTGGAGACAAACGCAGAAGCTCGGATCACAGTTGCAGGATGCACAAATCTTCACCGATAGTTGGCTGCATTGAAAAAGTGAAGTGACAGGAGGGAAGTAGAGGGATTTATAGTGCCAGGGACAATGAGAAAATGGATGAAAGGAGATCTGAAACTCGAAAGCGTGGCTCAGAGCAGACAGAGGCAGAAATGTAACTTTTATACTGTCAACACTGTCCAAGATCTGGAAATAGATGTTCTGAAACAAAGTACAGACTGCCAACAGCGAAGACTGAGGTGAGCCAAAACGCAAGTCATCTTTTGTTCAGGAAGGACGGTGAGAGTTCATTAGCTGGCTGGTGCAGTTTTTGTTGTGTTATTGGGCAAGGCACTTCACTCACCTTGGCTTTATCTGGCTGACTATACTGTGAGTGATAGGTAACAGCTTCTATTGCTTCATAAGTTTCTTGTCACCATAAAATATATAGCTCAGTCAAGTCTCTTCAAACTCAAGCCAAATCGATGGTGCCACAAGTTTGGTGCTAATTAACCCTGTGCAAGCTGATGTAAAGAGGTGAACGTCCAGTATGGTGGAGACATGCTCATTAGTAGCGTTCAAGCATAAAAAATATATATAATCAAACACATACACACATCTGCCTGGATGCAAGTATGTGGCGACCCTCCATTAGAAAAGCACACCTTTAATCAACACTTGCATTGCTTTTACAAAACATTTGAGAGTCCTCACTAGTACCTTTTTTCAAATCTAAAACTCTGACCTGAAATAAAAGGTTGTGTCCTTAGAAGGAGCCAAGTCTCGCATGAGCCAAAGTCAGTCAGAATTGTCGGGTGATGATGGAGGGAGTTAATTATGCGTTATGAGTTGTTAAGCTAACTTCATTAGCACATGGCCCAGGCTTAGAAGAAAAAGATAAGGCTATTATTAATCAGCCGCACACTGTCTTTTAGTATTAATTGTGTTTGATGAACCTGGGGATGCCTTTAAGTGTTTGGTAATCGCTGAGTGATTAGCACAGACCTGAGAGGAGGCAGAGCTGTGCAAATGTCTTGGTTCAAGCAGCTTCACAGGCTGTAAAAATAGCTCTATTCAAAAGCACATGCCAGTCCACTTACAGCCTGCAATATGGATATAAGCAAGACATAAAATATAATACAATACAATACTAAAGGTGGACTATCAAACTTTTCTGGTGGAGGGTCTGCTTTTTTCCATGTTATTGCTTTGTATGGAATGCTCCACTATACAGCTTTAAACTTGTCCTGCTTCATCAAGTTTTTTCGAGGTTTTGAGCAATAAAAAAACATATAATTAAATAAATGTAAAATAGACACGGTCGGTGCAATCACATCTTCATCTTAGCCGAGCACTCACCCAGAAAGTTTTAAGCACCTTTAATGAGCTTTTGACCTTGTTATAATGGTTTTCCCTCATCATTAACTTTTTCATTGTACTGTATTTGATTGAGGCAGGTTTGAGTAATCCTGTATTGTCCTGCAGAGTGGTCAGAAAATTCCTTTTTTCACCTATCCCCTATCCTTTAACTGTACATTATGGTTCTTATTTGTGAAAATTTGAGAAACTAGAACTCTTGCTTGCTTCTGTTTTCATTCAACCAATATTGGAGTTTACAATGAACAAAATGTAAAATGATGATCTTCTTATGTTACACATGTCTACTTTATCTTTAGCTCTACAAGAACAATTTCTAGATCTTTCAGTTAGAGTGACACTTGTTAAATTATAGTTCTAGCCAAGGAAAATATGAAGTAATATCGCCGCATAAGCTCCTCAACCAAATGTCTGCATTACTTTTACTTGAAAAGGCGTCTGCACAGAGCTCAGGGCTCCACTAAATATATATTTTATAGAGGTGAACCTTGGAGGCAAGATTCTGCTGGGTATATTGCCAGCTGTAAAGACTGTGTAATTTCAACAATAAACGTTTTAGTGTCATGGAGTTTGAAGTAATATAACAAGTATGAAAAAAAAATCTATATAATCAGGGATACTCAGAACTAGAGAACGATTGGTATGTTTTTTTCATGGCCAATGCTGATGTTGTTTGTTTAGAATCCAGAATAAACAATGGTTGATAAGCTCTGCTGATATGTTTGAGTCGATTTTGATCATTTTCCCCAAATTATGTAATTTAAATTTACTAAAAACTCACCCATAGCCCAAACCCATACGAGAGCAGTATAGTCACGTTTTCAGCAGTTATCTCTTTGCACTAAAGTGTTCAAATAAAGCCCTATGGGTATTTTTAGGCTGCAGGATAGCCAATATGCTAAAAAGTCCAAATATCAATCTCCTATAGCAATCACAAAAAAAACACTTACTGTAATAGAAACCAAAGAGAAAATGTGATCTGTTCTGCATAGTCCATCTGTCCCCTGTTAAACTTTAGATTGTGCCAAACACACATAAAAAGACATGGAGAACAGGCCAACGCCCCAAATTTGCATATACCAAGAATGCTAACAGTAGCTACACACTGTTGTATTTTAGCCATAGAACAACGTGTTGAATTTTCTGCACACCGTGTCAATCACTCATATCACTGTGCCTCATCTTAAAGTTGTTAGTCCATCAGGAAATGTCATAAAGACGGAAATAGTGTTCCTTATTAAGTTGTTATTGAAACATTGAGTGTTTTCCCCCCATGCCTCCCACTATATTGAGATCTTTATATTGCATCTGACCTTGTTCTGTATTGCATTTGAAAAGTGAACTGTATAATGTAAGTTAAGTCAGTGTGGACAACATACAGCAGACATACAGTAGACAGATAAGGATTCTGGTAGTGCGTCCCATCTGTGGAGAGGAAGTCTGTAATGATAACAATTCATCCCTTTGTCTGGAGCTATTCTTTAGATTGCATTTCTCCTCCTGAACCTCTCCATCTATCAGCTCAAATCCTATTTTCATGACAAACAATACGCCACACACTCTCGCTCCATCACAGCCCCTGTATCTGTCAGTGCAGAGGTGGAGGTGGCGGGGGAGAGAGAGGGGGAAAGGGAGGGGGAAAGAGGAGGTGGGGTGACAGGAAATGAATAGAAAAAAAGTGTGAATATCTTGGGAGTTTGAAGGATTACAGAGAAGAGGGCTGAAGTGTCTGTGTAGAGTGGCTGAGTATCTCCCAGCTGAACTCAGAATATAGCTCATTCTATCACTTCTCACACATCTGCTCTTCTACGGCCCATCTGCAAATATCTATTACACCTGTGTGGGCCAATGGGGAATGGAGCAGTGTGAGTGTTTAATTGACTTCAGACCACATGGGGACCAGAGCCAGGCAAACACACACCGACAAGCCGTAACTGCACTGTGTATTCAGACATCTTCTATCAAAAACATGATTGAGGGACACAACTGCAGTTTACTCCATAGTGAATACAAGCTCGTATTTTCATCACTACCAGTCACCAGTTCCGTCATGGTTCCTTGCTTTAACCACTTCCGAAATACTGACGACTGCAAACCAAGAGTAATTTGTAAACTAGCAATACATATTCTCATGCATACCCGTCCTACTAAAAGATACACTATGACGACAAAAAACAAAAGCTCACTTGTATTTTTAAAAGTGCATAATGTAACTTTTCCAGCAGCTTGCCTCCATGGAGATATTATTTGTTTGCCTGTTTCGCAGTATGGCATTTAAATAATTGTCCGGAATATATATAAAAAGAGGTGAAGGTGTTGTTTATAAAATGCATTGAAAAGCATGCATTCTTTCCACAGATATGACCTGTAACTTCACCTGATGGCATATTCTGCTTCTTTCCATGGAGACAGATTAAATGTATGACATTACAGGCAAAAAATAACAATAAGGAGTCAATATGGAAACAAGCAGGTTTCAGATCATTGACCAAACGTTATGATGAATAAATTTTGTCTCATTTTCTCATTCTTATCAGTCCAAACTCTACATGTTATAATGTACTTTCCTCATCACAAACATGCCTAGAGTTGTGTTTTTTTTCATTCACACATGTTTAACACACAAACCCTGAGGCTGAGTTCTTCTCGCAAACAGAAAACACTCTGTTCCACCATGGTGATGTCATGTGGTAATGCAGGGAGTTCACTGTGTCTTTACACATCTTCACTAGAATCATTTGGATAATTTTAGATCTGAAATTGCCAATCCCTACTGAACTAAAGATAAAATGTAGCTATTACATGATATCATAAGGTGGAACAGAGCATTTTGAAGATGCAGACAGACTAATAATAAAGGATTACTCAAACATGTGCAAATGAAACAAAACACAACTCCAGGTATGTTTTTGAATAAGCTCACAAGAGTCAGTTTTGTGTAATATAAGACCTTTAATTCAGACACAGCAGACTCACCAGCTCTCTCTGCTTTCCCTCGCTTCTCAGTTCTTTGGATCTTGTCCTGTTTGTGCTGCGGTTTGGGGACCTCGTGACCCGGCAAACAGGGACACAGCCCATCACACCGGACCAGTATAGTCTTCCCCGAGAGACAGCTCTGGAACTCCAACTTGCACTGTGGGGAATATACACAGAATATATAGGATACGTTGTGAGACACAATTCCCAAATGGTAAAACGACAAATGAGATTAGGCCCATGAGAACAAGACAAATGTATAATAAATAAAATGTGTGGTTCTGTTCACAATTTGTGCAATCTTTTATCAGTTTCATCTTGTGAGATCTCCCTACAAATTACAATAAATACATAACTTTGTAGATAATAACTGGGTGCACTGCCACGACAATTACTATATCGACTTTGTTCAATACATGAAAGCTGGAACAATATATTTTAGGGGTCAATATTTATCGTGTGCATATTTTTGTTGCAATTGTGAGGAAATTTCTGCAATTTTTTATGTAATAGGATAAGATTTGATCTGTACAGGGTTGAAAAAGTAAATCAGGACTAATCATTGGTTCATTCTGCAATTTATTTATTAGCTGATGCTTTTTTAATGATACTGTATTTAAAAAAATGGTTTGCTGAGATTATCCTGCTTTATTTCAGTAGTATCAGTATTATCATATATCACAGTATATCGCTGTAGCAATATACTGTGCTTCAAAATTTGTTATCGTGACAAGGTGTAATGCTTGAGTCAAGCCCGTATTAGCATAAGGTTACATCAGCTCTAAAAGAATATATGTATTTATCTGACAATGAATAATCCTTCTGTGAGCTTTTTATCTGTAAAAGTTTCCAGCTATTTTTTTTTACTCTGTCCCTCTGAGCAATATAAAGTACAAAAACCACATTGTAAAAGGCACCGCAAATTCAATTCAACGCTAAAAGCAAACTAATAGCATCTTTTCATAAGACATCGCTTCAATCTCTCCGTAGAGATTTTGGAGCTAAGACGTATTTGCTTTAACAGCTTTAAAGATTTATCTTAAATGAACAGACGTGTCCATTAGGCAGTCACAAAGGGCCAGTATAAACGCTGACGACGCCATGTGTATTTTTATTATACACAACACAACAAAGCTAATGGGATGAGAACAACAAGATGGACTACTTCAGAGTGCAATTTAACAGTATAAATCTCGTTTCAGGTAAGTGCAGGTGAAGAAAATGTTTGGACCTGTTGCAAAGGAAAAAAAAAATCCAATTACAAAAAGCTTCCTGGAGGAATAATGGAGGGCAGAATGAGTTATGTAAATTGTGTTTTTTGCAGGTGATGACGACAGGCTTTGTCACAGTGGACCGTGACTGTGCATAAAACGTTTACAGAGATACCACAAACAAATAGATGTCCTAGAAGTCTGCCTTTCTGCTCCCACAGGTTTAATTTCTCCAGTTCTAATCCATCACCTCCTCCTGTCTCCTCTTTGATAGTGCCGCTAATGTTGCCCAATGAAATTTGTCGACAAAGGAACAGCGCTGGGGCCTGTTGGGAGCGTTCTGAATTAGCTGTCTGGAGAGGCTGATAAAGAGTGAAGGGACCAGAAAATGAATAACCACCTCCAGCCACAGTCGCACAAATCTTTATGTTCAGATCCTATGGTGAGGCTACAGGTGAACTGAAAAAGAAAGGTTAGCATCAATACATTAACTCTCCAGAACAAATATATAGTTAATAGTGACTTAAAATGTCAGCTTTGCTTAGAGGTGCATTATGAAACTTTTCTTGTCTCCACGGAGATGTTATTGCCTGGAGTGTTCCACAGTATGGCATTAAACTTATCTATCCTACATTTATTCAATTACATATTATGTTGCTCTCCTTTCTGCACCTGCTTCTCTCCATGGAGATTAATTTAATGCTATATTCTGAAGGACTTCCTGGCACAGCGAGATCTCCATGCAGACAAGCAGGTAGTGGACCATCGACCAGGAAAGTTACACTGTGCACCTTTAATTATATAAATTATCTTTGACATAAAGCTCAGAGTTTGAGTTTGAAAATATGTCTAGTCACCACACCTGCCATTGCCTTTGAGGGGTAAAAACAGAGGAGTAGTTGGAGCAGATGAGAAAGGAGTAATGGACTTTACTTAGTGGTCTGAAAACTCTCCGGTGCCCTTTAATAGGATATATTGTGTGTCTGTGTGTGTGTGTATGTGGTGTGTGCGTGTGTGTGTGTGGTGTATGTGTGTGTGGTGCAGAGGAGGGAGCCATGTAATGTCGTGATAAAACATGAATAAGTGTGACACCAGAGCGTTACTGAGCAGCAGACTCGGAGTTGGACCACAGGGAGCCATCCGTTCAGCAGCCAACTCAACCTCCTCCAAATTACTACAGAAAGAGAGGGGAATGCCTGGCCCTCCTCTGAAATGTCATCTTTATTCTTTTATGATATTACTGCTACATTCACACTTGCTTCAGATGGCACAGACAGCTCACAGACAGACGGCCTGTCATTAGGAGTGAAGTGTCCAACTCGAGAGGAGCAGATGTCTGACCTCAAATCTATGAGGTGTGCATAATACATAAAGCTACATGTATAGTGTGATGTTGGTTGTGAAGTCCAGCTGGCCATGCACAATACTGAAATTTAATTTAACTGTGAGATTTTGTCATTTCAAATAGTCAATGATTAGCTTGGTTCTTTTTCATCAAGAAGTCTGCAGCCAATCCATAGCCAGTAAAAACATGTAGTTTGGAGCAAGAATTTAGACTTTATTGGCACTGATTTAAAGTCTATATTGTTAATGAAAATAACAGCAAAAGTTTTTTAATTTAAGTTGAAATAAATGTAATTTACAACATCAACATGAGGGAAAAAAAATAATGACACATTTTTTGTTATAGCCCAGCCCAAGATCCAACTTTAGGAAAGATTTGAAGATTTTTGGAAGGTTTGGGAACAATTTGCTCTCAACTTTAAGCTTTATTTTGGAAACAAGAACATAAGTAATAATGATATAGCAATATGAATACGTGACACACATAAGGCTGCTTTACTTCCACTCATCACATCTTCTCTCTTTCATTACTACAGGTTTTAGCCTCTGTAGAGCCCCTAGCATTCATGTTTACAATGCTTTAAACTTTAGCTGTAGCAATTAGCCACAATCTCCGTTTACCTCCCCTTGCAACTGGAAAGAAAAATCAGCTGTAAGTGCAAGTATATATATATGTTTTACTTTTACATTTACTGTTACATTATATAATTATCACTTATTTGACACCAGTTGCTTGCTATTGTTGCTACTTATTTTGAATGTGTTATTAGCATTTATATTGTTGCTCTTTGTTTTTATATTATATTGTGATCTGTGAGATACTGTGTCCAAATAATTTCCCTTGTGGATCACTAAAGCTAGTCTAAATCTAAGTCTAAGTTTGTTTCCCCAGTATGCATTTTTCAGACATCTAATCAAAAATCCAAACTAATGAGTATGATATTTCCCCCAGTTCCACATGGCAACTTTGGTATTATTTTGTCAGATTCAATAACAGTAATTATGAAGTGTTTTCAGTCATACACTGTGCAGTTTGCGTGGGAGGAAAGTGACAGCTGACTTGGTGTTGCTTCAATCAACACAAGAGTACAACTGTAATCAATGTGAAAATTTCAAATGTGACAAGAAGACAAAAGACTGCATTAATTACAGTCTCCAGAATTTGAAGTTGTCAAAACTACTGCCAAAATGCTAGGCTTACCTTGGAGGAGTAGGTGTGTCCGTCAGATCCACAGACAGGAGTTGACTGTTGAGTCGAGCAAAGCCTACATTTCCCATGAGCACCTGCTTCTGCTCTGTGCTTGTGTCCTGAGCTGCCTTTCCTGGCTTTTACACTGGAAAATAGGAGATTCACACATGTTTAAAATGTACTCAAGTAACATTATTCACACAATATTAAAACTTGGCACTGTATTAATTAACTGTTACTAGAAATCCACATAATATCAAGAGAAGACAGAAGGTGCAGACAGAGGTACTTGAAACTGTCAGTTAAGTTGAAGTAATTGCTTCTTGAATAGGATAATTTTAGTAGCTGTGTTGCTGTCACCTCTAGTAATAAAATTATACTTATTAAAAAACAAAAAACAATAACACTCGAATCATTAGTCCTACTGATTCTACTTCAACTATATAAGAAGCTTCTACTTCTATACACATGCTACCAACTGGCATGCATTTAAATTATGAAACTACTAAGAGCTAAACTTAAATGAACTGAACTGCAAATATATACTGGGCCTCATTTGTCATCAGACTTTACTTAAACCATTTAGATGTTGTTTTCTATGCAGATGGTGCTACTTCATTAAACATAACATAGTTGAGAATTTAATTGAATAAGGAATTTTTAGCAACTTCAGCTATTTCAGAAAATATTAACAACTTGGAAGAAGATGTGAAAAAACTAAAGTAAAAGTAACATTTTGTTCTTAGAGAGTTATTCATCTAAAGGTCAAATATGATTCTAAGAAAGTACTTCTTCCAATACTGCCTGACTACTGGCTAAACCCCACCAGCTCTGCATTCAAGTCAAAATGCATGGACAGTGAGTAATTAACACGAATCAAGATTAACATCGGCTAAGGGCAGGTGCACATTTTCAGCCAATCAACCCTCAGTTCCTCCACAGCCTATCTATCTCTTTTTAACCATCACTTAATCAGGTAAATCGCTCCCAGAGTGCACTGGGCTTCCATATGGCGCACATTTTCTAAAGTGGCACCAGATTAGAGAAGATGGAGGGGAGCGGGACAGTCTGCTCACATCTTCTAGCTCACATCTCCTACATCGGTGGTGCTTGATGAAACTCAGCCGAGCGTACAAGTGTGTAGAACATAAGATAACGCAGTGAGTCCCAGAGCTGCTCCTCCCCTCTGAGTCAACTTCACAAATGACATACTTTTCCTATAACACGAATACCTGAGCAAGAAACTAACTTTTCATAAAGACTGCTCTGCTGAGAATTGTGGGATGTTTTTTTTTTACCCTTTAATTGACAGTGAAGGTTTAGCTTGAGAGAGGAACAGGAGGGGAAATGGAGAATCAAAGCTTGCAAATAGAGTCAGAAAAATCATTCAATTCTCTATGTTACCTTACACCTCCACCGTCACACTGAAGATTTTGACGAATAGGCATAGGCATTGACATAGGCTATAAAAGTACATTTAAATCATGAAAATACTCAACTTAAATGCTCAACTTGAAGAAACTGTAAGTATGATTTTAAATTTCTCGACTGAGTCGTCTCCTCAGATACAAATTCAAATATAGCTGATTTGTTCTTAATTACAACAACATTGGGCGGCCAAGTTGTTTATGTTATAATTTGGGGTTTTGGGTCTGCCTCACCATTTTCCAATCAGAAAGCAGAATGAGTATCACATAAGTCCTTCAGCTGGGTTTCCAATTTCAGTGTCGAAATCAAGTTGGTTAAAATATATACTATGCCTTCTTTCTGCAGAGATCAGATTTCTATGTCTATGTAGCAAGCAACAACTGATTAATTACCAAACTTAACTTAAGCCTTTTAAATTTTATGTTGGTGCAATTTCATTTCAATAGCATTGTTGAGAATGTAATTAAATAAAGCCATAAATACTTTTGAAGTGACATTTTCATCAACCAACAAAACACTAACAACTTGGCAGAGTTGTTTGTTGTCAGCGTAAGATTGTTTGTCTAATTAGCTGATAATTAACAAGGGTGAAACAACTGGCTCATTAGAGGAAAAATAATGAGCACATTTTGCCTATTTTTGCCAATAAACTTTCCACAACTTTTCTATTCTATAAGACTCGCATATGGTTCAGCTCTGGGCCTATACATTTTTTCCATGTATTTGATCAAACTTTGTCTGGTACAGATACAGTATATTCTAAAAGCTATTCTTGAGGTCAAAAAAGTCCGCTGGGTACCACCTGCTTCTAATTATAGGGATGGGACAAGATCTCGAGATCAAATTGCCACGAGATTGTGTGCACATAGGAAAAACGATCTCGCGATATTTTAACCTCCGGGCATGAAAAAATTACGCATTGCTCAGTCTCTGGAGAGTTGGTATCTTTGAGCAGCTGTAGCTTAAAGACTCCTCCACATACAGACTTATAGCTCACATATTCAGATGAACTACACTCTAAACTCTGTCTCACTTTTTATTTCACAGTGATACCAGTATTGATGCAAATAATCAGTGTTAACGTTGGTCCTCTATTTGTGTCCCTCTGCAGTGCACATGCACAGAGCAACAGCAGTGGAGGAGAGGAGGGAGAGGAGGGAGGAGCTGGAGCGATAGAGAACAGAGTAGCACATCCAGGTTTTGTGTAATAATTTTAATAATGAAAAAAGTAATAGACATATTCATGGTAATAGAAGCTGAATATGCATAATGGGATAGGCTCACTAACCCTATTTCGTGTCTCGTCTCATAAAAATTCTGTCTTGTCCCACACATATCTAAGTTTAAAGCTTTTTTTAGTCCAAGTATCGAGAAGGGCGTGGTTAGCATGTTAGCATGTTAGCTTTAACGTGACATCAAAACTCAGTTCTGGTCTCTGAAAGTTTTGAAATACGCTAATGAAATCACGGCGGTGAATAATTAGGATGTTCTGAATTCATATGGTAAATTTTGGACCACTGCAAAATGTTTAAAATGAACTGAATATTTTAAAGGTGCATTGTGTAACTTTTCTAGTGTCCATCAAATGCTTGTCTCCACAGAGATGCAACCTCACTCACACTCAGAAGGCCTGTTTTTTTAGGTATTATAAAACCACTTTTGCACCTTTGTATTTGCAGAAATGTAAGTAAGAGCTGTTTAATGTCATACTGTAGAACATTCCAGGCAGAGCAGTGACAACTCTATAGAAACAAGCAGGTGACGGACCCAGAAAAGTTACACAATGCACCTTTAAGGCACCAGTGAACTCCTCTGCCTTATGACACATACCCTAGATCCCCTGCAGTGTATCTCTATGGCGCAGTAATTGTAAATGACTGCTATTTGACAGTACTACAGCCACTCTCAGCAGGCTCCAGGTCTACAGGAATTAACAGCGCCAGTCTCCATAATCACTGCTGAGTCCTAACCTGCTGCTGCTGCCAGTCCAGCCCCGCAGCCAAATACTATCAGGAGCTCAAATGAATGGCACTGAGTTCACCAGCACTTACATTGGTGTAAATATTAAATAGATGGACAGAGGGCATCTTCAGTCCTGCAACTGTAGTCAGTCTATAAATATTTTAAATTAATGGAATGGTATAATTTAAATAAGATTAACAACAGAGGAAGGTCAATGATTTAGCATAAAATACATAGTAAAAAATCTATAACCAGATACTGCTTGATATTATGAAATTAGATTTGGAGAAATATTGATACAAGAAAAAAATTAAATAAAATAGAAGAAGACCATATGGTAACATCAAAAGAAAAAAATATCACTTTATGTTAAAGGTTCTATTTTACACAAAATTCACTCCTGTGAGGTTTTAGTCATATTATAATGTTGTTGCCTCATCAAAAACATACCTGGAGTTGTGTTTTGTATCATTCACACATGTTTGAGCAATCCTTTATTATTCTTTTTAGTCTCTCTACATGTCCAAAGCTTAAAATGCTCTGTTCCACCTAGTGATGTCATGAAGCTGTATGAAGTTAACAGCTCAGCTTTGTTCAGTAGAGATTTGCAAATCTTGGGCTGAACACATGCAGATTATTCTAGTGAATGTGTATGGAGCCCCTCTTGTATTACCACATGAGATCACAAGGTAGAATGGAGTGTTTGCAATGAGGAAACAACATTATAACATAAATCAGAAAATTGTGCAATATAGGCCTTAAATGTTGTTATGCTGCATAAATAGGGTTTTAATTATTAAATTACTGAATATTGAAAATTTTCCTTGGTATTGAAAAAACAAAACAAAACAGATTTTAAGTATTATGCCAACACCACTGAAATAATGCTATTATTTTAAAAAATGCTGGTTCACTGTTGACGCAACCACTAAAAATACCTGTTTTATCATAATTTATTGATAATGGACAATGACCCGTAGAAGCAATCCTGCACATCAACAATGCATTACCTAATTAAATGTGTCTGCATTATTTTTCAGTGAACAATGCGCTCTGCCCTTTGCGAGGACTCCGACTCCATGCTAATTATGGCAACTAATTCAACTCTGAGATGGAATAATAATACAGTCCACCAGTTTAGCAAGTGTTGTGTTGTGAAAATGGCAAAAATAAATTGCATATGAACAGAAGTTGTAATTAATGTAGTACAAAAGCAAGAGAGTCTCAAAAGCACATGACTTGAAAAAATCAATTACAGCTCCAGTGACAGAACACACTTCTAGGACTTTTAAGGCAATGTTTGTTCATCGGTAAATTTAAAAATAACAAAAATTGGTGGTGTGGCAAAGGTTGAGTACAAAAACAAAACTGAAGACAAGCCATGTTTTTCAGAGTCCAAGGAGCACAAAGATACACACAATTTGACTAATAACAGTACTACTCAGTGTAATATTTATAGTCTATATCCATGTAACTCAAATGTATGAATGATAACTCTTAACAAACTGCTGGGTGTTGGTATGGGATGGAAATTGTCCATGGGAAATTTAATTAATAATTTTGAAATGATTGAGTATTTTATTACTGAGTCTGGACCCTAAATTATTATTATTTTTTAAACAAAAGAAATGTCTTAAAAAAACAAAAAAACAGACCTACTAGTATAATACAAAAGTGACTTTTCAAAGCTTTTAACCATGTTAGAGTTGTTTCCCCTCCTCATTTAGCCTCTTGAAGTTGTATTTGGAGTTATTTGTGCATGTATGAGTAATCTTTAATCACTCATTTAAAAGACGGCATATTGTCAATCAACCCCCGCTTTCCCCGCCACTGGCACACGTCCACTGCTCTGTACTTCGTTCTCCACTTTTATTTTCTTAATCAGTGATACACATAGGATTCAGCAGCATCATATAGTAATTTTGTTGCAATAAAAAAAAAATAATAATCTGCTACTCGCTACTGCGATGACCCATCAGATGTGGCAACAAATGTGATAAACATATGATAAACATGTTTTTATATTTAAAAAAAAGGGCTGAGTTGTGATTGGCTCTTACCTGTGACCTGGCTGCTTGTGGTTGGTGCAAATGGCTGTCTGGTAATCATGGCTTATGCAAATCTTGTGAGGAGGGCACTTCACCTTCAGACAAGGATCCTGCTTGGTTACATCTGGACCTAGAGCGAGAGGACGAGACAAGACTTTAGATGCAAAAATAAACTTGGAGCATCAGCATAACGCATGGAGCTGTATAGGGCTCCAGCTGACACCACGGAAAATAATGAGACAGAGAAGAGGAGCGCTGTATGGTACAAGGCAGAAGTTCTCAAACTCTTCAGATCAAGTACCATCTAAAAACATTATCAAGTAAAATTACCCTAAATCTCTCCAATAGCAAAAACAAAGTCTAAACCATAGATGGACTATAATAAGGCACAGCTATGCTTGTCCTTTTGGTTTGATCCTGTTCTAGTCCTGGTTTAGTTCTGATCTAGCCCAGGTTTGGTTCTGGGTTGTCTCAATTTTTATGTGGAGTATGTACAAGTGTGAAAACAGTTTAAGACAACACTTGATCTACTTTAGACCAAGATAAATACAAGGTAAGTACAGATAAACAAAAACTATGCTTAAATCTAGATTTTAAAAGGACTAAAAACACTGAAATTACATATTGTTACATATTCAGAAATATCAATAGCATCAACAGAAGATACACTGAACCCTACACTTTGAAAACCACTGACTAAAAGTATTAAAAGTTAGTATTTTATCAAGTAAGATAGTTAATGAGTTTTTTTTCAGGCCTAAACCAAGTTTTAACAGGACTAAAAACACCAAAATTACACATTCAAAAATATGACAAAAATAACATCAGAAGATACACTCAACCCCACAGTTTCAGAGTCACTGAAAAAATATTAACAGTGGTAGTAATCTAGCTAGTTCATGAGTTGTTGTTTTTTTTTTTTTTTTATTTCGGGGCTAAAACAAAATTTTTACCAGACTAAAATACAATAATTTCATGTTTAAAAATATAATTTTAATAGCATCAGCAGAAGGTATACTTAACCCCACAGTTTCAGAACCAATGACTATTAAAATTGTTAAAAGTAGTAGTATTATATCAAGTAAGCTGGTTAATGAGTCTTTTCAGGCCTAAACTAAGATTTTAACAGGACAAAAAACATTGAAATTAGGTGTTTAAAAACATGAATGGCATCAACAGAAGATGCGCTCAAACCCTCAGTTTGAGAACTATTGACTATTAAAAGTATTAAAAGTAGTAGTATTCTATCAAGTAAGCTAGTTAATGATTTTTTTTTTTTTTCAGAATCTCAGTCTCCATTTTGGCTCAAATCAATCTCTCAGTGACATTATCGAAGTGGCGGCGAGGCACAGTTGGCTCGTGTCTAAGGTGACGAAGGATCAAAGCAGCTCATTGACTCCGGCCATTGTGTCGCTTCACACAGAGCTAACGGCAAAAGCACTTTCATTTGACAGAAGGGAGAGCAAAAGTACCAGAGGTGGCAGTAAAAGGGAGAGGAGAGAGCTTTTACTGCAAATGAAGTGAGAGACAGGCCCTGGACCCCGGGCGGACCGCCACTATTCCCTGTCTAGTCAATGTGTTCGGCTAAACGCACAAAAAAAAAAAAAAACCTTATTAGAAGCCGTTAAAGAGACTAAACACACAAAGATAGATCAAAGATGGAGTGGGTTTTATACTGAGGAGAGTGAACTGAAAATTGCAGCCAATCCCATGTTAATTAAGAGCTGAGAGAAGTGTATGGATCAAAGGCCTGCATTATGTACAGCTAATTAGCATGTGGCGGCTAACATCTTAAAGCAGTGGCCTCGTCTCCATTAGCGACCTAATGGGACGTGAGTGCGCCACAGCTGGTGTCTCATATATATTCATATACAGACACATGCTCTGACCTCAACTCATGTTTACACCCTGCTCTGTCGGCACCACAGAGAACTATCTACGCAAGTCAAAATTAGGACACCATATCTGCAAAAATACCTATAACAAAACATTTTTATGATTATTATGATTAGTAGTAGCAAACAAAACAGTTATTTACGAGTAGACATCAAGTTTACTAGATGAGCTTCTACATGAATAGTTCAGCGGTGTTAACACATTTAATTGCTTTCTATTAGTAACAGATCAAGTAGGCTATGGCGGTAGAAGAAAACATAGCAGTAAGTTCAAGTAGCATGAATAAGTTTTGCATATATTAAAGGATCTATATTACACAAAATTGGATTCTTGTGAGCTTTGAGTCATGTTATAATGCTGTTAACTCATCAAAAACATACCTGAAGTTGTGTTTTGTTTCATTCACACATGGGCCCTTCAACACATAACATATAACTTGCATATATTAACATAGCAAATAACTGCACATATTTTTATTGAGTATAAATCTAGACTGCTAGATTCATTCTGCCAAAATCGGTACGTTTAAGTTGACTTACAAGTCAGCTGATGTAAACATAAATGTTAGTGGTCTTGAAAGAATTATCAGTATAATAATTGAATAAACAACAGTGACAAACAATGACAAAGGCAATGATACACTAGATGTGCTTGAAGCCAGTACCATCAATTGAAAATGGATCCTGGATGGGAGCCAAAATGACCAGATGACCACCGCTGAATCTTTCTACACTGAATTATGCCTGGACAAATGAAGGACTACAATGTCTCATTTCCGACACTACATGATCTTATATGACAAATACTATACATGCGACATGAAGTCAGAAAAAAATTAAGAATGAAAGTGTAGTTACAGCCAAACAGCTGTTGACATTACACAAAAGTAATGACCTCATAAATGTAAAGAGCTCATAGGTTAAAGAAGGATATCCACATTTTGAACTCTAAGCATTTAACACAAGGCTAAATCCCTCTTCCTATTTGGCTGTGTGTTTGTATCTGCTCTTATTTGCTCCATGTCCTCTGCTCCGTGCATCGATCAGCGTCAGGGGAAAACCCATCTTACCTCACTTTGCTTCAAAATGGCTTTATCACCCAACGGAAATGAGAGATGAAGGAAGAGCTGACAGGAGCCTATCTGGTATCTGGTTAGTACCGGATTGGAGCACAATTTAGGATTTAGACTGTGACCTCCGCTGTCGCCCTGATAGGAAATATATTGGCACTTACAAATAAGCAGACAGTTTCTATGTAAAACTTTGTCGGCCATGATGGGATGTGAGATGAGGGATTTACAGATTGAGAAGAGGAGCGAATAGAAGAATAGTATGGTAAAGCCACGCAAAGCAACTATCGCTGTCTCCCTGACAACCAAACAGGAAAAATTACACAAAGGGCCCAATATTACGTTATTTTCTGATCCATTTCCAAACCATATCTGGTGTTGTGTTTTGTTTCACTCACACATGTTGAACACACAAACCCTGCATATTTAGGCTGTGTCTACCTGACCATTCCTCCTGTTCAACTGCATTTAGAGCTTTGACTGAGACACAAAGGCGGCTGAGAAGCCCTGTATGACTGAACAGTTTGCTGCAAAATTAGAATTTCTTACGTTTTTATTTCTCTCTCTTCTCTCTCTTCTTTTCTCAAACAATATGTGATGTCATGTGATGTCAAGCGCCCCACTGTGTTTTTAAACTAATTCTAAGATGGCTAAAACCTCAAAAGAGTCAGTTTTGCAAAAAATATAAGACATTTAAATTTACATTTAAGAAAAAGTGCAAGCATTAGTATTTCACATTTTTACTCCATTCTATTACAGTGTGTGTGTGCCATACTATGAAATTAATAGAATTTGCTAACAGTGTAATAATGTCTAAAATTGAATTATATATATATTTTTAATCAGTGATATAGCAATATTGTCTGCCCTGATCTAGCACTGTTACTGATAGCATCTTTCATTCTGGCTGTGACCTACAAACTGACGACCTGCCAGATATCCATAGCAGTTGTCATGCAATGATACACTAACATAATTTAATACAACTTTATAGTTACAAGAGGTTTTGTTAATGTTTTAATGAAAAATCTCTTTCAAACCACAATTGAAATGCCGACTCAAAGCAGCAGTTTTCTTTCTTCTCGTCAAGTCTCTAAGCAGCCATTGTTATGTCTCTTTCTTAGGTAAGACTTTCTTCTTGTGCATGACTGTGTGAATATTATTCTTATGCATGATTATGTGCGTATCAATAGAGGCTGTTGTATTAATTCTCTCACTGCCAGTGCACTAAAGTCCCCTCTTAACACTGTGTAAACCATTGAAACCTTATTAATTTATGGAAATGAGCGAGGTTGCCAGACATGATAAGACGTTTCCAAATGAGCAGGTGTGGAGGATTGGCCCTGTGTCTGTCTGTTTATAGTGTGATGAGTAAATATTCACTCAAATACACTTTGCTGGAGTCAAACTTGCTCTGAACAAAGTGTAAGAGGGTTTATTTACAAAGTTTGGAATAAAATAAAGCAAATGTTTCCTAATGCTGCATTAAAGATCAAGATCATATGTGAAAAACATGTTTTGGGGGGTTATCTATATATCAGTTAGTTTCAATCAAAGACGATGTCCCTGGAGATGAATTGATCAGAACATTATTTTTAAGGAAGACCTATTGTGCTTGTGCCTGCTATATAGCTATAATCTATGACACTTGTAGATCATTATGTTATAATTTGCATATTTTAAATTGTAATATTCAGCTAAAACAACTTAATAAAAAAAAAATGTCAGCGGACTTTAGAAATAAGCTGTGCCCAATGGAAGTTGATGTTGCCGTAAACATCATCACAACGTTTCACCAATTAGTAAAAGAAAATTGGAGCACGAAGTAAGCACAGAGTAGTGGGTGTACGCCGGTGGTGGTGAAAACAGGAACTGATTGGCAATAAGGAGCCTTGAAAATAAGCGATTAAAGATCAAACATGCCCAAATCACTCCAAATATAACTTTTGGTGAGTACATGGCGAGGAGAACAACTATAACATGGTTAAAAGCTCTAAAAAGTCAATTTTGCATAATAGGTCTGCTTTAAAGTGTTAAAAAACAGCAGTAGATTGAGGGCTGAGTCACTAATAGACTAATATATTAGTCACATTGTAATGTCAAAATACTTGTGAGTGAAAGCATTTTACTGCAGGGCTAAAATCTGTCCTGGTGCTGCCAGATAA